CCCCAGGTCTGAAGGGTGAGTCAGATACTCAGCAGATGAGATGAAAACAACTTTGAGGCTTTCTGCTCATGCTGGTGGCGGGGTGCAGGGTTAGTTGGGGGAGAGGTGAGATGTCCAGGAGATATGAACAAAAGATAAAACCATGAGCCTGGGACATTTCCAACAGTTAGGTGGTCCAGATGTGGGAAGTGTTTTTACCCATTTCACTCACAGCCCACCAGCTGGAGGCAGCAGCTGGTGTGTAGGGTAGAAGTAGACATCTGAGGTAGACATGTGTGGCCAGTATCACCTGGGCTGGTAATGCCTTTAGACATGGATGTCTCAGCCAACCACAGGAAAGAAACAGACAAGAAGCTAAGTATGTCAGGGCTAGACAGACAGACAGAACCCAGTCCTGATCTCTACAGGACAAAACAAGGCACGTGGTCAGAGTCCAGGGGCTAACCTAACAATTCCACGAAAGGTAAGGTCCAGGGCCTTACCAAACACAGAAAAAGAGGCCTCACGTCTAAAGACCTATACACCAAAGCTTCACATGAATGACGGAGTGTCAAGACATTTCCTGTTGGCTCTGAAGTCTAGAAATTATTCCTTCCATGGCAGAAAAGAAGGGAAGGAGATAGGTGCAAAATCAGTGGGAGAACCTGCATGGAACACAGGGGAAGGAAAAGGAAAGGCAACTTCTAAGCAGAAAACTGCTAACAATCTGTACCCAGGAACACAGTCAGTTCTGATCCTATCTCCCTTGCAACATGAATGGCACAAATACAGTACTGTAATCCCAACAATGGCCTGGACAGAACCCTGGCATGTCACAAGATGATGAGTCCCCATTGTTTGCTTTTAGCTCTAGATGGCATCCCCCAAAATCTCACAATCAGGAGCTTAGGATTTTCACCATTTCTTCTGGTGAGAGCCAACTGCGATCAGTGCAGTCTGAGTAACAGCAAAATAGCACCCTAGAGAGATGAGCCAAATGCTCTTGTATTGTGCCTGTCCCCTTGGGGAACAGGCAGGAGGGGCCAGTACCAAATTCTCAGTGGGGGTAAGTCTTTCTGGCTGATTGCCACAGTGAGGGGTGGGGAGCACTTCCAAGGCCCTGAATTCATTTGTATCCAAAGGAAAGTTTGAAAAGCTCTCCATCTCCAAAAATAGTCCTTTCCAATGACTGTCCAGAAAACATGTTCAAGAGTGATTATACCCACCACTGGGCAGAACAGAACCATTCCTTTATCTTAAATCTCATCTTGGAAAATGTATTGGTGTCTATGGGACCTCTGACAACAGGCTGCAAGCCTTCTACAAGCTCATATGATTCATCTGTCTCCCAGAGAGACCAGCACATGGCTTTGCACATGGTAGACACACTGAACAGGTGGACTGGAAGCAATCCTCTCATGGGCTTTTAAAAAACCAAAAGAAAAATATCAAAGTCATACTAGGTAAAAAAAAAAACCCAAAAAACTCAAAAACAAAGAAACACCACTTTCAGAAACCCAGATGAGCTGTAGCTGATTCTAATCACTGCTTCTCAGCTTCCCTCCCCTGTTCATCAGGAATATGTTCTATCAGGGATAGAACATATTCCTTTACACCTGTATGCACTATGTTTTTAGTATTTGGGGGCATTTCACACTGATGCGTATGTTGCTGGATGGCAGGAATGGCTCATCCTCAATTACTTCCATCTCTCCACAATGCCAGGAATAGCGTCTTGGTCATAGAAGTGAGTCAATTCGTGATTGCTAAATAGCCAATTTCATTTGTAATTTCTGAGACAGCTCTAGGAGGGGAGATAAAGAGGACTGATGTAATTAATACATAGACTTGACTAATGTCTTTGCTGTAACAAGTGAGTTGTGGAGCAGAGCCTCAGAACCCTGCTGGGTTACAAGAGCTCCACCACAGGCCACTGGGTCCATATGCATTCTATCTGTTTGCCTGTGTCATGAAATGGCCACGTAAACATTCCTTCTTGTCACTGAGCTACTCATACTTTCAAATGCTTCCCAAATAGAAGCAGAGTTGAAAACTGTGTCCATCTGTAGAGTTCCCAGGCTCTCTCACAGCCCCCCATATGCCTTGCATGGAATCAGATCCGAGTTAAGACGACTTCAGTGAACCTCAAGTTCCAGCTCCACCCGGATCATAAGCACCATGGAAAACATCTCCAGTATGTGGTCATCTGTCCTTTGACTTAGCACAGCTTCTAATGAAGAGCCAATAACCTCTTGACAGTTCATTCCACTTCAGAGCCCTGATTGCTAGAATATTCTTCCTTGGGTTGAACTAAACCTATCTATAAATGCTACCCATAGTTTCTAATTTTGTCCCCTGGAGCCACATAAAGTAACTCTTAAAGCTTCTTCCACACAACAATCCTTTAAGGAGCTGAAGACAATATTCTTCACAATGCATCCAAATAAAAACCTTATCGTATGATACGATAATGAACTGGAAACTGCGCTTTCCTGTCCAACTTGGTTTAGGAGCCTCCCTCTGGCAGAGCCTGAAGGTAATATATGACCACACTTTATTTAGCAGCAGACAGAGAAAGCCCTTATTCCTTAAGCTGGTAACAACTGAGGTCGTTCATCACCCACTTGGTCCTTTTTGAAATTCACTCTGCAGCAAGCACTTTTTAAAATCATGCACATAATGCATTTTAAAGAGCATTTTCTGCCCAGATCCATTTGCTCGACCTCGCACTAAGTGCGAGATGGAACAGTATTTCAGTGCAGTCCCCTGCTCCTCCTAGAGCCTGTGCCGAATGCACACCAAAATGTATTTGCAATATACATGACTGGGGCTTGAAAATGCAGTATTTTGTTAAATGTCTTTTTGCTGATTAAAATGCATCTTACAAAGAAAGAGCATTGCTAATGCAGAATCTAGTCCAAAAATCTGTATTATGTAATGCATATTTTTTAATAATGCAAGCAATCTCGGTGTGTCTTTTTATTAGTGAATCAGCTCTGGGCTGCCATCTCCATTACAGGCATAAAGCAGTCCATCTGAAAAATGAAGGGCTTTCCTATGCACACTGAAGAACCAAAGCCCACCTCAGCACTGACGGCTGGCATTAGCTTCCACTGAGGGCACTTGACAGCACCCACATAGTCTTGATTTTTTTTCCCTTCGATGTGCCCTGAAATTAACTTGACCGATGTCTTTATGTTCTATACACTGTCAGTAGAGCTGTGCTAATTGAAAGAAATAAAGTGGGCGGGTCAACATGAGCAGACTCTTTAGAAATGTCCCCCATTAGTCAGGGTTGAGAGGCAAGAGATCAAGATTTAAGATATACAGCTCCCAATAACCCTGTCCAGTGTCCCATAATAATACCCACATGGTGAGTAGAGCCATGCTGGCACTTATGATAATAAACCCCTCCAGTTTCTCTGGAAAGTGTTAGAGTAGGGCACAACTAGAGCACAGCTGTCTGTCCTTTGATGGGATTTGCCGAATCAATCCCATTCTATTAGATCAATCAGTATTTTAATACTACAAACTCCTAGAACATGAGATACAACATAGACACAGCCAAGATGCAGAAATAAGAAAAACTTCAATCATCCAAAGTTGTGGCTGGAATGTAGCCAAGGTTCTAATTCTGCATGTGGCATGTTTAACGCAGGTCTGGTATTAAGGAAGTGGAGGTAAGTCACCCACAGTGAGGAACGGCTTTGGTGGGAGAGACTGAGTAGTCAGTCACCAGAAAGGATCACTGGGAAAGCAGAGAATTTTAAGGGCAGCGCCTCTTCTTTGAGTTCCCTCACACTGACTCAAGGAGAACAGAACCAATCCCAACGTGACGTGTCTCATGTAAAGCAACCTTATTGACAGTTCATGGATTCCAGAAAGATGGCTTTGCTCTGAGCTTTATCACCTCTGGACTTGTTTCTGAGGCACAAGGGGCACTCCATATTTAGCAGGGAGGACAAGACTGAACACACACACACAAAAAATTGCATTGCACATGGAACCCAAGACTTCCCACTGCTGGTATCCCCTCCTGGACCCAGGAAGCTCATTTGATTTTCTAGGGCTGAGACAGAGTGGAACCAGTTTACTTTAATTCTTTGGCCTCCAGAGTTCAACACCACGATCTAGTAGTACCTGTCTGCCCCCTAGCCCCAACGTTCTGTTTTCTCATGTACAAGTCAAGCTGGATTGAACAATGTTGGTGAATGAAGGATTGTGAAAGATTTAATGTTCCAATTAGCAGATTAATCCTCAATACCCTTTCCTTAATGCAAGACTTTTTCTTGTTCACTATTCTGCCTTCAGCACCTAGAACAGAGCTTGATATGTGCTAGGTACTCAATGAATATTTGTTAAATTAATTATTATTGTTGAAAACTGATCTAAGAACTAGCTCCAAGGGGCAGAGCTCATGGAGTAGGGGGCAACCATTGTCTGCAGGCTTGCAAACTACTACCTCTAGGGCTTTCTTAAGGAAGTGGCTAGTTTGTCCATAGGATAATTAGCCAGTTGAGACTATACAGTGGGTATATTTTTTGGAAACTTCTCTAATTAGTCACTACAACATATCCGCCAAAGGTGGTTTCATGATTAATGACAGCCTTAGGTTACCATCCTCAAACTATTAAGCCTGTGGAAAATGCCTGGGGCTGAATCATTAACACTCATGTACAGACCCTCATTTCTTCAATTTTTCCAATTTTGTGGACTAGTTTTCAGCTGGTCATGACTCTGTTCATTTCATGGAGAAGAATTTGGGGAGGGGGACAAACCTCGTAGAGAATCCACACCCAGCTACCCAAGTACTCTAACCTGTAGCTACCGTGAGCGCTCGCTTGCTTGTTCGTTGGCACTCGCTAGGCGCCCCCGCCCGCTGCTTTGCCCAAATACTTTCAAACAAGGATCCCTCCTGCCACCTGCCGGCCCACTAGGGTCTGCACCACGGGCTAGGAGCCATCGCTCAGCTCGCGGGGAGACAGCCCCCACCTCCCTACTGCACATGCCCGGCAGAAGTCCGGGCGCGCAACTTCGCAGAACCTCACCGCCCCATCTCTCCTCGCCTCAGTCTCCTCTTTCCTCTCCCAGGCGAGAGGACCAGCGGAGGCACCGCTCTCGAGTCTTAGACTGCAGTCTAAGACTTAGTGAGAGGAGCCCGGGAGGAGATAGCCCTTTTCCCATCCCTTTTTGCTTGGAGAGGCGAGCAGAGGCGCGGAGCTTAAGAAAGTTCTTAAGTGGTCGGGAAGGTAGGTGCTTCCCTTTTTCTCACACCGAGGTGGGACTGGGACCTCCGAACCCAGGTTCTCACCTCGTAAGACGCATCTTTTTCGGCTCCAGCAGCTAATGCGCATCGGAGCCGCGCTCTGCAGAGCCAGAGGGCGGGTCGGCTTCTCCGTGTGCGCCTAAGAGGATGGATCGCAGGTCCCGGGCTCAGCAGTGGCGCCGAGCTCGCCATAATTACAACGACCTGTGCCCACCCATAGGCCGCCGGGCAGCCACTGCACTCCTCTGGCTCTCCTGCTCCATCGCGCTCCTCCGCGCACTTGCCACCTCCAACGCCCGTGCCCAGCAGCGCGCGGCTGCCCAGCAGCGCCGGAGCTTCCTTAACGCCCACCACCGCTCCAGCGCCCAGGTGTTCCCCGAGTCCCCTGAATCTGAGTCTGACCACGAGCACGAGCACGAGGAGGGAGACCTTGAGCTGTCCCTCCCCGAGTGCCTGGAGTACGAGGAAGAGCTCGACTACGAGACCGAGACCGAGACCGAGTCCGAAATCGAGTCCGAGACTGACTTCGAGACCGAGCCTGAGACTGCCCCCGCCACCGAGCCTGAGACCGAGCCAGAAGACGAGCGCAGCCCCCAGAGCTCCACCTTCAATCAGTCTCTTACCCAGCGTCTGCACGCTCTGAAGTTACAAAGCCCCGACGCCTCCTCGAATCTTGCGCAGCCCACCACTCAGGAGTCCCGGAGCCCCAGTGAGGGGGAGGAGCCCGAAGACCAGGATCCGAGGGACCCCGAAGAGTCTGAGGAGCGCAAGGAGAAGCAGCAGCAGCGCCGCTGCAAGCCAAAAAAGCCTACCCGCCGCGACCCGTCCCCAGATTCCCCTTCCAAAAGGCCATCCATCCCCATCCGGCGTCACTAATGGAGGACGCCGTCCAGATTCTCCTTGTTTTCATGGATTCAGGTTAGTTGCCCACGGCTAACCTGGGGATCCTGGGGGCAGTGCGGGCTCCGCGGGAGGAAGGGTGGGAGAAAGGGTGGAAGAGAAGTAAAGACAGGTTAAGGGGCAAGGTGGGAAAGGAGCAGGCTCAGCTAGTCAGCCCTAGACGAAGGACATGGTGAGGCGAGGGCTCCACAGATCTTCCCAGGATGTCAGGGGTGCCCCGGTGGCCAAGGGCTTATTGGACGGCGAAGCGCTCTTCGCGCCTCGCTGGAGACAACCTGAGGGTCTCCAAGTTGGCGCCCGGGACAGGAGACTGAATGCTGAGCACGCCTCAGGTTTTGAGCTGCACACCCAAACAACAAAGGTAAGTACTTGTTTGATGCGTTTTTTTCCTTCTAGAAAGATTTGTCTCAAAGTAAGTTGACTTTAGCAGGCGCCCGAACTGTGGTTCGGAGGTTCACGCGCCAACTTTCCCCAATTCAAGAGCAGCATCACTGTAGCGACACTGTTGCAATGTGAGAAAAGTAAACAATAGAATTGGGTGAGAAAACTCCGGAGACTGCCGGCTCCGGAGGAAGTCGTGTGCGCGCAGGTGCCTAACAGGCTCGGAGTCTGTAGCCAAGGTCCTGGTGCTGCCAATTTGGAGCCGCGGGAGTTCGGCACTAGTGCCCCCCACTGCGGCACAGCAATCCTGGCCATCACTGGTCCCCTCCAGGCACTCACCCGGCCAGAGCCAAGGAAAAGAGAGAGCTTGCGCACCTGTCCATGCGCCCAAGGGCCAACCTTTTCCAGTGAGCCGGCATCTCCCTGGCAAGTCACTGGTACCTGGAGGGTAGGCAGTGGAGGTACAGAGACCATTTGGCGGGGGTGGGGGGTGCCCCTCCGGGCTACCAGGGCTATCAGCGCGGGATCGATCACGTCGGGGCATCGCCAACCTTTTGGCGCAGCTGGTCAGAGGGCAAGGCTGGATGCAGCTTGGCTGGAGAGGTCCTGGGCTGTTTGCGCAAGGTCCTAAAGGCAGGAGAGAGAGCCGAGGGAGGAGGTGGTAGGGCGGAGAAAGGAAATGCAGGAGTGGGGAGGGGGACGAAATCGCGTCTGTCATCGAGACTGAGTACAAGGCGCCCACAAAGTGAGTGACACTAACCGAGCTGGGGAAAGGTGTTGGATCCAGCACGCCGTCCTGGGGCATTGAGAGGGGGCGGTTTCAGCAGCCTCAGGGAAAGGAGGTGGCGCTCTCTGCTCCGGCCATTTTCAGCTCTGGTGGAGCCAGGCTTGCAATCTGTAACCTGGAGGGAAAATTGCCCTGTGATCCAGCCCCAAAACAGCCGCAATCTGGTAACACATCTTGGAGTGTCTTCCTTTCCAATTCCGGGGCGAAACTGATAAGTGAAATTTACTTACAAATCTTAGCAGATTTGGGAAGTTTTGTGCGTGTGTTGGTGCGCGCGTGCGCGCGTCTCATTTTGCGCGGCTTGAGTTATTTTAATGGGAATGATTTGAGAAATCTGTGAAAGTAAAGCGTTTTGACGGCTTGAAATGAAGGTGGTCGTATTCTTAAAGTCCTAAGAGAAGGATGGTGCTAGAAGGAAAACTAAGTGGTCTTCCTTCCAGGACCTCTTCCCTAGGACGGCGTCGCAGCCTCCGGAACTTAGTTACACGGAGCTGCGGCGCTGAAGATGGTTGGATACCTGCGCGGTCTTTGGTAAACACAAGGAAGGCAGGGAATATGTTTCCCTGGCAAGCATATTGGTGTCTGGAGGTTGCCGAGGATGTTGCAGAACGGCCAGGATGCCCAGCCGTTATTATTATCATTATTTTTGGCTCGCAAGCATGAAGTTGCCTAAGTGAAGTGGAATTCCACTAAGTTGAAATTTCTGCTTAACAAGGATGGCGACTTTTCTGTGACACTGACATTTAGTGTTCTGGGTTTTTGTTTTGTTGTATCTAGCAATGTCTTAGTGGCCTCAGTTCATCAAACCCAAAGCTCTGTAGTTGACGGCAAGTGAAGCCAGGAGGTTTGCTGGATGTTGTGCTGTCCTTGCTTCAGTTTGGAAAGTCTGGGAGACAAGTTTTTCAGCAGAGCTAGGTTTTTCATTAACTAAATTAGCACACTGCCTTGTTGCAGAGATGAATAAATGCTTTAAAAGGTCCTTGGTGCCTAGTCCATTCCTTGCCTAAATCTTGTTCTGTTTTAAAAAGAAGCCTGCAGGGGGAGGCCAGCTTATCTTAACAGTGAGCAGTGCACCAAGTTCTTACAGGGGTGCCCAAATAGTTTGCTGCATCTCAGTCAGCATCATCCATAAACTACCTGAGTCAGTAAAAAACCAAATTACAGCCTAATCCTGAAAACCTGCTACCCACCAGCACACACCCTCCCCCATTTAGTGCCCCTCCCCCACCCTCCCTCCTTCCACCCTGATTAGGAGATAAAGTCATTGGGGACCATACAGGAGTGTACCAAACCCCAGGGAAAACACCCACGACCCACTGGGAGGAGAGGGGGTTTTGCTAATAAGACACTTCAAGCCCACTTTCTGCCTGGGTCACTGGGTTCAGCTGCCTTCCTTTTCCAGACACCATTTCTAGCAAGTTCTCCAAACATTCTCTGAAACTAGTCTGCCAGCTAGCCCTTTGTCTCACCCGGATAAGCTGGGGTTAGCATTTCAATGGGCTTGCTTGCCCTATACCATAGGTAGGGTCTGTGGGGTGAGGATATGCTCTCTGAAAGGCAGATCTTTTTGACCACACAGCGAATTAGCAGTCCATTAGAATATTTCAAGCAAGAGGGAGAACAGGGGGAGGGAGAGAATAAAGCTTGTGAAATACCATGGTATACCCCAACCTTTAAAAGCTTTCCTTTTCTGTATTAGTTATTTGCTTAATGTAAATCTGCTTTGAGGGGCAAAGGTGCTCTTGCAATTCAACTTTTTTGAGTTGTAAATCATGTAGCAATGTTCAAATATTGTGTATTGTAAAAAACCTGATGTAAGTTTATAAACAAAATTTCTATGTTTATCAGAATTAGCAAACTGATTTTAAAATTTGGAATTGTTCTAAGATGTTTCTTAAATGCAATAGAAGCCCCCCTCCCCCGCCCCGGCCCCCAATTGCCTACAGCCCTTTACTCTTTAGCCTTTAGCCTTTATTACTAGCAGCTGTGATGGAAGGGCTAACAAGAAAGCTGGAACTTCAGTGTCGGTAAGAATAATGTTTTTTAAAATAGTAATAACTGCATGAGTTTTGCTTAATTTATCTGAATTACCACTGCTCTTCAAGAGGAAAGCTATTCAGAGGAAACTGAGCAGAAACCATGTATTGGGTAAAGCATCTTAACAGGAAGGTGACCTATCACTAACATCAAATTAAACTTCCAGAGGCCAGTGACGTCATAGGCCAATTCAAGTGCTACCCTTCTCTAAAATACTGCCCAGCAACAGGGATGAGAATCTCAAGTTACATCTTTAATCCCCGTGTTCCAGAATAAGGGATGGAATTTCTTGTCCTGCTGTGGGGGTTGACATTAATGACTCTATTTCCTACATCCTGATGCCCCAGACATGGGCAACACGATCCAAGACAAAAGGTCTTGGGCTAGCCCAGAATGATTCTAGTCCCAGTCCTGTCAAGTGGCTTGGGTTTTACCCAACATCCCTCTGGCTCAGTTTATTCTAAAATGAACTACCTAAATGATATGTTTCTATGATCCCTTTCGGCTTCAAATATGTGTAGGTTGACTTGTTTAAGAAGCCTGGAGTGTCTGATTTGATTCATTCAATGATGTTAGCACTGATGAAGCCCCAAGATTCAAAAGTTGATCGACAAATAAATCTGTTGTCAAATGTTTTTTAACTTGTAGCAAAAATAAAGAGGCATGACAGAGAATGCAGAATTCTGTGTCCTGTCTCTAGACTGAGAAAAATATGGCCATCCTTAAGCACAGTGGGTGTGTGTGTGTGTGTGTGTGTTCGTTCGTTCTACACCTCTCTCCCTAACAGTAGTGTCTGGACTGAGCCTTCCAGAGCCTCAGCAGGCAGCATGGTGCAACTGCTGTCAGAACACTGCAGCAGGGAGCTGCTAGCCCCTGTGGAAGACAGCAACTGACACACTGTGGAGTGCTGAATATATTATTTGGAAACAGTTTCTGAGTGTCTTGATCAGGCTAGACCTGGAAAAATGGCTTCGAGGCTATAACTAGTTAGAATAAACCAATTCTCCCAATTATATTTTTCATTATCACTCCCACCCAGGAGCTTTTTTAAGCTATTTTTTCCTAGCTGTCCCCCTCTTCAGGAAATTTTAATCTCACAGATATAGATTAGATATTATTTGCTTATCTGCTGTGGGATCTGGTAATTGCTAAGCTTTTTGTATGTACACACACACACAAACCAATTTTGGCTCCACTGCAAATGCATGGGATAAACAAAGCACACACATACACAAATTGCTTTTGTCAAATTAACTGATTTTTGTGTCCTGGTTTTTGTTTTATAAATTAATCCTTTTTTGGCCACTTACAAAATTTGGTAAATTTTTACTAGTGTTTGTTTTTCTTAAAAAAAAAAAAAAAAAAAAAAACTCAGTTTTTCTTCTTCCAAAACGGTTCCCCACCCACCCCTGCCCAGGGCGGGGGGGGGGGGGGGGCAGGCGAGCGCAGCCGTGTACAGCCAAGTGCTAGCGCCTACTTAATTCACATGACAGAGGCCAGAATAAACAGCCTAGTGACTTACTTCTCCCAAAGCCAAGAGCCTACAGTGCAGGGCCACCATCACTTGTTGATAGAGCTCAGCCAGCAGAAGCAGGACACCCAAGAGGGCTGGCGCCATGCACCTTCCGCCTGCTAACTATTCTGGGTAGAACTGGAGAAGTTGCCTTCCCAGGTTCAAGTATGGGCATGACCTGTGTGTTTATGCTATGGGCCTATTTTAGGGTGAGTGTGTTGCGAATTAGCCAGGGGACATAGGTATGAAAGAGACCAGAGTAAGCACAGACTGCACAGAGGATAGGTGTGTGTG